TGGGGAGAAGGGTGCTTGAAATAAAATGGTTCTGAGAGGCACTCTAATTAGAGCGCCCACAGTGTCACATGTATTCAGTATCCCGCACTTCAAAATGGCAGTGGGGGTGCTTTAACAAAGCTGGTTCGAAGATCTTAAGTTAAAGCGCTGCTGCTGCCATTTTGAAACACGGGCACAGTGAATACACATGACGCAGAGGCTGCTGGGGTGCGCTAATTATCACACTTCAGCAGACTGGCAGCAAATTCGATTAATCGAGTCTGCTCTGACACATGCTAAATACCACGCGTTGGAGCAGAGGTCTGTCACTGGTGCCCTATATATGCATGCAGCCATTCGTCCTGCCATCCAGTGCCTGGTGGAACAGCAACATGAAGGTTTTAAAAGTTGGGTGTCAGCTGGCAGGCTTACACTCAAAAGCAAGCATTTCATTGAGCAGGGGGACATGCCCAGATTTCTTCAGGAGGCTCCTTGGTAGTGGGGACATGTTCTGGGATGATTCATTGAGGGTTTTGCCCCCTGAACCCAGCAGAAGAGCAGCTCCTTATTGGTACCAATGTAAATAGCACATACAGATGGCAAGTAAATTGGTGCCTGGTATGGCCAAAGTGTTTTTTGGACCAGACAAAAACATGGTCAAGGGTGTCCGAAAGAGTCCCCCAGTGCCACAGAGGCATGGTGTGGGGTGGCCCAAAAAGGATTTGCAATGATAATCAGGCCAAAACCCAGTTCCTTATTCAAACCAATATACTTAGTACTAGCAAATTACCCGTCAAGAATGACGGGGGGTAAGGAGGAGGGTGCAGGTACGGAGCCCCGCAACAGGCCCCATGTCCTCCCTCCCCCCACCCCGCTCTACCTGCACCTCCCTCCCGCTGCTTCAGGTCTGACCCCAAGCCACCCCCACCCCCCTCTCCACCACTTTGGGTCCGACCCCACTCCCCTTCTCTCTCCCACCACTTCAGTCCAGTCCCACTCCCACCCCCTCCCCGCTGCTTCAGGTCTGACCCCGCTCCCCTCCTTCCCCCCACAGCTGCTTCGGGTCTGCCTGGCCCGTGTCTGCCTGCCTTCCTTCCCCTCCCCCACTCCCTGTCCCCCATCTGTCTGTCCCTGCTGGTTGTCTGGGGGGCATCCGGGACGGGCGGCCACCGTGATACCCCACTGGCCCTCAGGCAGGAAGACGGCGGACAGCCCGGCTGCTTGGACAGCTGGGACACGTTCCCCACCGCCAAAATTCCCCAGCAGCGGTGCAAACTTGGGCCCACACAGCATGTGCCACCCAGCCACTCACCACCCGCCCTCTCAGGTGCACATGCACAGCTGGCTAGAAGTATTTCAGACAGACGTACAGACAGACACACAGACAGCCAGACAAAGCCTTTTATTATGTTAATGGCTTTGGGGGCTACAGTTAGCAGCATGGCATGAAGGAACCGTGCTCTGGGCTGGGCAAGACTCTGGTCAGGGATGTCCGGGGGAGTCCACCAGTGCCACAGAGTCATAGAGTGGGCTGGCCCAACAAGGATTTCCATCTCTAATCCCAGAGCAAGAAACAGTTCCTTATTCGAGCCATTATACTTAGCGCAGTGGCTGGGGGGTTGTCTTTTCGCATCCTGGTCTGGCCAAACAGCATTTTAGACTGGGCAAGTCTCTGGTCAGAGATGTCCACGAGAGTCCTCCGGGGCACAAAGGTATGCCATGGGGTGGGCCAAGAAGGATTTCTAGCTGTAATCCTAGCCTAAAAGCCTGTTCCTTGTTTGGGTCCACATATTTAGCACAGTGGCTGGGGTGCTGTCAGTTAGCACCCTGGCACAGCCAAACCGCCTTTTGGGCCAGGCAAGTCTCTTGTCAGAGATGTCCGGGAGAGTTCCCTGGTAGCACAGAGGTAAATCAAGGAGTGGCCCAAAAAGGATTTCTAAGTATAATCCCAGCCCAAAAGCCAATTCCTTACTCAAACCTATGCATTTTGTACATTGGGAATGGGGAGCTGTCAGTTGGCAGCCTGGCACCGCCAAGCTGCGCTTTGGGCCAGGCAAGATTCTGGTTAGAGATGTCCAGGAGAGTGCCCCAGTGCTGCAGAGTCATGGCGTGGGGTGGCCCAAGAAGCATTTCCATCTCTAATCCCAGCCCACTAACCAATTCCTAATTCAAGACCATATACTTAGCACAGTGATTGGGGTGTTGTCTGTTAGCAAGGCCAAACTGCACTTTGGGCCAGGCAGGTCTCTGTTCAGAGATGTCCAGGAGCGTCCCCCCGTGGCACAGTGATGTGGCCCGGGGTGATCCAAGAAGGATTTCTGGGTATAATCCCAGCCCAGAATCCAGTTCCTTATTCGGGTCCAGATATTTAGCACAGTGTCTGGGGGAGGGTGGGGGGTGTCAGTTGGTAGCCTGGTGAGGATAAACCACGTTTTGGACCAGGCAAGTCTTTATTCAGGGATGTCCAGAGGTGTCCCCCCATGGCGCACAGTTATAGTTTAGGGTGGCCCAAGAAAGATTTCTGGGTATAATCCCAGCCCAAATTCCAGTTTTTTATTCAAACCCATCTATTTAGCACAGTGACTGGGGTGCTGTGTTCTGGCAGCCTGCTACGACCAAACCGCACTTTGGGCTGAGCAGGTCTCTATTCAGAGATGTCCAGAAGCATCCCCAGGTTGCACCGAGGTGTGGTCTGAGGTAGCCCAAGAAGGATTTCTTGGTATAATCCCAGCCATAATCCAGTTCCTTATTTGGTTCAGATACTTAGAACAGCAGCTGGGTGGGTGTCTGTTGGCAGCCTGGCATGGCCGAAGAGCACTTTGGGCCAGACAAATCTCTATTCAGGGATGTCCAGAGGCATCCCCCGTGGCACAGAGGTGTGGTTTGGGGTGGCCCAAGAAAGATTACTGGGTATACTCACAGCCCATAATCCAGTTCCTTATTCAGTTCCAGATACTTAGTGGAGTGGTTTGGGTGCTGTCAGTTGGCAGCCTGGCACGGCCAAACTGCGTTTTGGGCCGGACAGATCTCTGTTCAGAGATGTCCACGAGAGTCCCCTGGTGCCACAGAGGTGTGGTTTGGAGTGGCCCAAGAAGGATTTCTGGGTATAGTCCCAGCTCAAATTCCAGTTCCTTATTCAAATCCATATATTTAGCACAGCGGCTGGGGTGCTGTGTTTTGGCAGCCTGGGACGGCCAAATCCCACTTTAGGCTGGGCAGGTCTCTATTAAGAGATGTCCAGAAGCATCCCCTGGTGGCACCGAGGTGTGCTCTGGGGTGGCCCAAGGAAGATTTCTGGGTACACTCCCAGCCCATAATCCAGTTCCTAATTTGGTTCCATATACTTAGCACATTGCCTGGGGCGGTGTCTTTTGGCAATCTGGCACGGGCAAACCATGCTTTGGGATGGGCAAGTTTCTGCTCTGAGATGTCCAGGACAGTCCCCCGGTGTCACAGAGATGTGGTCTGGGGTTGCCCCAGACAGATTTCTAGCTATAATCCCAGCCCAAAATACAGTTCCTTATTCGGATCCATATACTTTGAAGTGTGTTGGGCTGCTTACAGTAAGCAGGCTGGCACAGCCAAACCCCGCTTTGAGCTGGGCAAGTCTGTGGTCAGCAATGTCCAGGAGAGTCCCCCAGTGCCACAAAGGCACAGCATGGGGTGGTCCAAGGATTTCTGGGTATAATTCGAGGCCAAAATCCAATTCCTTTTTCGGCTCCAGATATATTTAGCACAGTGTCTGCCAGGCAGGGAGGGTTGGGGTGGGGGGTCAATTGGACATCTGGCGCGGCTAAACCGCGTTTTGAGCCAGGCAAGTCTCTGGTCAGAGATGTCCCGGAGTGTCCGCCGGTGGCACAGAGATATGGTCTGGGGTGGGCCAAGAAGGAGTCTGGGTATAATCCCTGCCCAAAATCCAATTCCTTATTCGGGTCCATTAATTTAGCACAGTGGCCAGGTTGGCAACCCGGTGTGGCTAAACCGTGTTTTGGGCTGGGCAAGTCTCTGGTCAGAGATGTCCAGGAGAGTCCCCCAGTGCCAAAGAGATGTGGTCTGGGGTGGCCCAAGGAGGATTTCTGGATATAATCCCAGCCCATAATCCAGTTCTTTATTCGGTTCCATATACTTAGCACAGCAGCTGGGGTCCTGTCTGTTGGCAGCCTGGCACAGCCAAACCGCATTTTGGGCCGGGCAAATCTTTGGTCAGAGATGTCCAGGAGAGTCCCCCAGTGCCAAAGAGATGTGGTCTGGGGTGGCCCAAGAAGGATTTCTGGGTATAATCCCAGTCTAAAATCCAGTTCATTATTTGGGTCCATACACTTAGCAGAGTGGCTGCGGTGCTGTCGTCAGCCTGGCACGGCCAAAGCGCACTTTGGACCGGGCAAGTCTCTGGTCACAGATGTCCAGGACAGTCCCCCAGTGGCACAGAGGTATGCTGTGTATTGGCCCAAGCATTATCCCAGCCCCAAAGCCAGTTCCTTATTCAAACCTTTATACTAGTGGACATGGGAGCTATTAGCTGGCAGCCTGGCACGGCCAAACCATGCTTTGGGCCGGGAGGGACCGTGGTCAGGGCTCTTTGGGACAGTCCCCCAGTGGCATCAACAGGAAATCTGGGGTGGCCCAAGAAGTATTTTGCCCCATAATCCCATCCTAATCTGACCTTCATTTAGGGCTCTGTACTCGATGTGGGATATTATTTTACATATAAATTAGTACGTATGCATAGCTAATGACATTCTCTTTCTTTAGGATGTGGAATTCATTAATAACAAGTTTTTATTGGGTCTAGATTCGCTTTGAAAAAGCAACTGGGAACCGGGAATAAGGAACTGGGAATAAGCAACCAACTTCAGCCTCATCGCTCACGGGCACAACCAAACTCACGCGCACTTGCACGCGGAGCGACCATCGAGCCGCGGTCCTCCAGGGCCACCAGAGCGGCGGAGGCTGCAAGCCCCCCCCCCCCCCACAGGCCGGGCACCCGCGTGGTGACGTCAGACCGCGGTGCCCGGTCCCGCCGCCCACGCACAGGTTCCGCCTGCAGGAGCCGGGGCCCCGAGCGCCGAGGAGCTGCGGCCTCTCTGCGAGGGCAACAGCGGGTCCCTCCGGCCCGGGCAGCTCGTGTGCGAGCCCGGGGCCTCTCGGGGACAGCTGCACCGGCACCGCCCGGAGGCAGAGCGGGAGCGCGGCTCGGGCTGGAGCTGCATTGCGGGGACGGCCCGCGGGGCAGTGACATGAGCCCCAGGCTCTGCCCGGGTATCGGACGCGGCCCCGAGCTGGTGATTCTCCAGCGCGCTACAGGCTTCACCTCCCCCCCGACGCCGGGTGGTTCCCGGAGCTGACACCCTGCTGGAGTGGGCATGGTGCACTCGCCTCGTTCTCCTCTTTCCAGATTGACTTTTCCACTGAGTCCAGCCTGCACCAGCCCAGGACACTGAGGAGCCACATTCCCTCCTTCCTTTCCCTTCGTTTCTGCTCCTCTGCAGCACACAGCGGGGATGGCTGGAGCAGTCCTGGTTCAGGTAAAACTTCACCAGGAAGGTCCCTCTTTCATGGGGTGCAGTAAATCCCTGAGAGTCTGAATGCTAAAGAGTTCCCACCCCAGAGCTACATGGGGAGCGAAGGGGGACTGGACGCTGGACTGCAAGGCCCTGGAGTTCCCTGGGGAGGTATCTAAGGGGAAAACATAAATTGCTGGGATCACAGCCCAGGCAAGGAGTTCTCCCTGCAAGTCTTCCTAGCAGTGACAGCTTTCCCAGGGGGGACGCAACCACCTGCCCTGCAGTCTGCTGTTGGAGTGATGATGGCAGCTCCCTACTAGGGGGTACTACCTACCGCCTGTGCTGCACCACCTGGATAACGTTGGCTGTAGGAGAGAACCACTCTTCTGCAGGCAGAGTTGTGTCCACACCACACTTTGCTGGAGCAGATGCATCAGTTGAGGGGTGGAAAGTCCTGCAGCATACTCAGGCTGCCAAATCTTTGTAGGTTGGAGTAAGACTCAGAGATGCAGGAGCCCTGTGGTTCCCTGGGGAAGTGTCTGATGGAGAAGGACAGACAAGGTTCCTTGGGTGAATGTGATCTTTTATTAGACCAACCCAAATAGTTAGAGAATAGTTATTAAGCAAGCTTTCGGGTTCAAAAACCCTTCGTCAGGCTAAGGAAGCTTCAGTGGTTGGTGTGTGCTCTTCCTGGATGGAATGAAAAGTAAAGAAGCCAGGGGCTGGGCTGGAGAGTCAGTTGCCAGGCAGATTATAATGTATCAAGGATTAATTCCTGGGGTCACTATTGCTGGTTTAGTTATGATGGCAGTGCTCTGTTGGGTAGACATACCCTGTGCTGTGTCCACATCAGGGGCTTTGCTGGAGCACCTGTGTCAGCTAAGGGGTAGATAGTTTCACATCAGTGTCCAGTGTAGCTAGGCTGGCCCGTCTTTGTAGTACATCAAAATGCTCAGGACTGCGGGCGCTGGATGAGGCTGGAGCAGAAGGGACTGAAAGTATACTGCTTTTGACTGCAGCTCCGGGAGGCCTTTGAAGATGTGGCACTGTACTTCACCAGGGAGGAGTGGGAGCTGCTGGGAGATAGAGATAAGGTGCTTTACCAGGACCAGATGCTGAGGAATTACCAAGCCCTTATTTCCCTGGGTAAAGTTCTGTTTCTTACTTCTTCCCCCCATATAGCCCTGTGTTCTGTTTTGTATTTTCATATGCTTTTTTTTTTTTTAATTTGAACCAGTCCCTTGTTCCTTGGTCTTTCTTTTGCTCCAACTCCTGCTGCTTCCATATTCAGCAATTATTTTGCAAGATGATCTCCCTCTGTCCTCCCAGCCTGTCCACATCTTCAACTCAGTGTTTATAAATATTTACCAAGTGGCTTTACTTGGCAAATTAGTCCAATTTTCTCATTTTCTTTCCAGTTTTATCCTGTCCAGACATTTAGCTGTCTTAGTCTCAATGTATAATCCACTTACTTCTGTTTGGTTGCTTGCCAACATAAATCCATGGAGGTCCTATCAGCATCTGCTGCTTCAATAGATTGCTTTCCCATTTCTTTAGCTCATCCTCTAGTGTAGTGGTGCCCCACTTATCCAACCCATGGCAGTGTTGCTTCACGGGCTGGATTGTGCACATGCTTGATGTATGGCAGGGGTGGGCAAAATGCAACCTGGGGGCCGGATGCGGCCTGCCAAGCCATTCTATCCAGCCCCCGGGCCCCTAAAAAATTTAGAAAATTAATATTTATCTGCCCTGGGCTGCCTGTCATGTGGCCCTTGATGGCTTGCCAAAACTCAGTAAGCGGCCCTCTGTCCAAAATAATTGCCCGCCCCTGGTGTATGGGGTCAGCCTGCAGCTGCAATCCTACATGCCACCCAACCTCCCATGCCAGCCTGATCCTGCTGTATGCTGGCCTAATCCTGATCCTCACTGGCCCAATCCCATGTGCTAGATCTGACCATGCACCCAGATCTCGTTGTGCACCAACCTGACGCCATGCACTGAATGTAGCTGCGTGCCAGATGTGACTGCGCATGGGCCTGAATCTATGGGCCTGGATCTGATTGCAGAGTGACCAAGGCACAATCACATTGTCCTGCCCACAGGGCTCTCCCTGTGTCCAGATATTTAGCAGCAGGGGAGCAACAATTAATGCTGCCACCACACCCCCACTGCCAAATTTCCAGACCTGTAGGGAGCCTTCCAGGTTGGATGACAGTTCTGTGGGCTGGAGGATGAACATCACTGCTTTAGTGACATTTCTATGAATGATAGAACCCAAGTGCTTTTAACCAGGAGTCAATGTAAGTTTCTGCCCATGTGCCTTTCTGACACCTCTACCTCCACAGGCCATGTTTTTTGTCTTTATTGCATTTTACTTAGAATCAAGATCATGCTGCCATACTATAATGGGTTTTTGCCCTTCTAAAATTGCTCTGTATTTCAGGAGATCACCTGCAAATGTCATATAATCCACAGTGCAATTCACCTAAGTTTTTGTCCATGACACTCATCACTGTGACAAAAAGTGGGTTGAATGCAGAGCCCTGACGAAAATGAATTTTCACTTCCAGAAGTTCTTTATTATAGGTGCTGGTTCTATAGCCTGAAAGTTTGACGTACATGTCATGTACGTGTACTAGTCAGATGTACTTTTCTAGTGCTTTCTTCCTTCAGCTTCATCAAAGATATTCCTTTGGGACCCACTCAGATGCTTTTTCTAGATCTACAGAAGCCACCTGGAGCAGTTTATTCTTCTCTAATTTTCTTGAAAGTGACTGAGGTCAATCTTTTCTTCTCTAAAACCAAACTGATTATCACTGATTTGTCTAGTTCTCTTGCATCTAATCTCTTGCATCTAATTTCAATATATATTAATTAAAATTTTATATATATAAAAAAATTATTTTTTTCACTGTGTGTCTAAGTAAGTTTGTTCTCAGACAGTCAAAGGGAAATATAAGTAAGTTTATGTTCTCTCATTGGAGCATTGGTAGTTACTACCTTTCAGTTTGAATGAAGATTGATATGATATATTTTGTCACTATATTTAGTCACTATGATATATTTAGTCACTATTTATCTAAATTTTTTAAAGTCTTGTACATTTTTCTGAGTTAAATACAGTAACCACCATTCCCCTTCGTTTCCTAATGCTTTGGGAACTTTCACAAATTGGGCATATGACCCTGCTATTTTGTAATTACTTTTTCAGTTTGTTTTTCAGTGCTGCCCACTAGAAAGAATTTCAGCTTCATTTGCAGTGGATGCAAATATCCTCTGGAATATTCTTCTTTAAAGAATTTCTCAAGATACACCTTTCAGGCTTGCCAGATTTCTCTTAGACCAGCTGTTAATCTGCTTTTGCTATCATTAATAGCATTGAGGACATCATTATCCAAGTTTTTTGTTTAGGCATAGAGGATCTTAGTCCTCTTATCAATTACATTTTCATCCTCTCTACTGTTCAGTTTCTTGTACATGTCACTTAATGCTGCTTCTTGTATTCTTGTCATCCTTACAGCTCTTGTCTTTTCACATAAATGACTTGGTCTGAATTAATTTTGCTACTTATTGAAGATCTCTCTTTTCTTCAGTAGCTGATTGAATCTCTATATTCCAGCATTAGGCTTCCCATCTGGCTTACCTTTTATGATTTGGTATTGTCATCATTGCTGTCCTCGTCGGGTATTATTGATGTGTTGTCAGTTCTGAAGTCTCGTGGACTGGGGTGCTGGCAAAATGTCACAGGCAGGAGAGCCCAACATCAGTCTTGTCTTAACAACCACAGGTTCGGTTTGGTGCAAAGGCTCGGCCAGGTTCGTTATCTACAACGCATAGCCCTAACACACTCATGATCTGACAGATGAGATGTTAATGCATGTATGCCCATGACAAAGTATTGGTGCAATACCACATAGACTCCCTAAGACTAATACAAAGTTCCCATAATTTCTAATTCTCCTTTTATACAGTGATCAGAACAAATTACGTACTATATTCCACCAATACCTCGAATAACTTGAGCCATCCTGTGCCATGGACTTGTTCCACATCCTGATCTTGGTGTTCCTGTTCCAGGCTTGTTATCCTGGTACTGGACTATCTCTGCACCTGGTACAGCCATATCCTCCTCTCATCTCTTGGCATGAGTGCTCATCTGGCCCACGTGCCAAGTTTTGCTTATGTAAGGAATTCATGCATTGGGCAGGTTCCCTGACCAGGCTTGCTCTGGCCTATGCTTTAGCAAAACCTTTGTGCAAGCAGTATATGTGTTAATCAGTGTTCCAGTAAGGCCTGTAGGTATCACCAGGATATATTTTCAGCAGTTATAACTACAACCCCTTTCCCTGTATCCCAAAGTATATCTGCATCAAGCTCTTTATTATTATAACGAAATTGAAGACTGACTTGGTTATGCAGCTCTGGCTTTCTGTTTTTAACTAGCTTCTACCGTTTCATCTCTTCCCCTGGTGTTCACTTTCTTTATTATATTCTTGGGGAAAAAACAAAAGTCAGCAAATGGAACACTGTGTTGTGCCATTTTGCTCTCAAGATATTAAACAACTTTTGTTCTATTTCCACTCTTAGTCATTGTGAAACCTACCTGCCTGAATGGCTGTCTCTTTTGGAGGTCATTCTATGCCCATCTATTTTCTGGAAAACAGTGTTGACCAGTTCCATACTCTAGGCTTTTGCAGGGTCTCAAAATGTCTTGCTCCTTTTTCCCCATATCCATGAAACTGATGGACTGTATCATATCTACTACAGTATATAACAACCTGTGCATTCATACCCACTTCCGTGATGATGCTCCCATCACATGGAAGGACTGTTATTGGTAGACTTGAGGAAACATTCGGTTGCTAGCTAGGAGTAGAGAGCAAAGCTAGGCCAAGAAATGCCAAGCAGTTAGGCAAAGGGAAATCTAATTTAAGGAACTAGAAACAGGCTAGGAAATACCATGGATAAAAGGTCTGTAGAGCCAGTATTAACTCAAGACAAGTTGCAAGGGTAGGGATAGAACAGAAATAAAAACCTTCTGGCTTGGTTGCATGTAGCCTAACTGTAGAAGAATAAAATAGCAGGTAGAGGCCTGCTTTCCATATTATCTTTAAGTCCACTTCCTATTATCCACTGGCTAATAAAAAGGTAGTTCTGTCACCGGATGGTGTTCCTCTTGGACTGAAATCTTGTTCAGGCAGAGGAACCCATCTACAGATGTTAGAAATCCTTGCTTTCAGGGCTTAGTCTCTGTAGCCAGCCTATTAAGACAGCCTGCATGTTAGTAGTTTTAAAACCTTAGAACTAAGGAAAAGCAGGATGTTAAAAAAATCTTTTTCTTCAGCAATTGTAACCTTCTTAGCTTTTAGTTTTATAGCCATATTGTTTGTAACCTTTCCAAGTTTGTATCCATTTATAATTCTTCTCCATAATCCAGGGGTGCTTAGCTCCCAGTCCAGGGGCCAAAGCTGGCCCTCAGAGTCACTTATCCAGCCCACAAGGCTCCCCATGAGTTAAAAACTTGGCAGTGGGGGAGTGGTGGCAGCATTTAATTGCAGCTCCCTGCTGCCAAATTTCCATACTTGAGGACCTTGTGGTCCAGATAACATGGCGTTATGTGCTAGTTTGGGCGCACAGAGCCAGCTGGAGTGGTATGGGGCCCAATCCTGACATACAGGACTTCATGGGCTCAGGCTGGGATGATACAGAGCCTGATCCTGGCAAGCAGGGCCAGGGTGGGGTGGCATGGGCCCAGGTTGGAGTCGCACAGGCCTGATCTGGGCATGCAGGGCCCAATCTAGGCATAATCTAACTATTTGATTCTGTGTGATTGTGTGATTTTTTTTCAAGAATTAAAAAGATTTTCTTGGATGTAACAGAAATGATAAGTGATTGACATAGTTCTAGATTTACAAATTGCAAAATCTTTATATAGTCATTCTTTTAGACCACCTAAATTTGCTGGGACAGATCTCTGGAAAAGTCATGGTGTCTCAGCCCATATCTTGTAGTCAACATATAATGGCATCTGCCATTATTATAAACTCATCTTCATCTGTACATTGCTGATAAAATAAGAATTACTTTCTCCTCCATATCAAGTTTCATTTTTATGTGACTGTCATTAATTATTTTTGCTTCCAAAACTTGTCAGTGCAAATTTTCATCAAGAATAAAGCCATTTCCAGTTCTCTGCCTGGAATTACCTTGATAATAAACTGTATCCATCCATAAGTGCATCCACTCTCTCTCTTTCCAAATTGGTACCTTAAAAATATGTGAGAATGTTCTTATCTTTCTTTGTAGTACATCACAGAGCACTGTACCTCTGCTTATCTTCCATTCTGCTACAAGGAATTTTATACCCTTTATATACATCTCAGTGGTTTATGCATTATATTTCAAATGACCGTTCTGCTTACCTGGGTGACAAGGTCCATTATGTATTGAAGATTCCTTCCTGGAGTGCTGTCTTTGATGCTATATGTCCACATTTCCTTTTCCTTTGAGGCCCTCTTAGAATGTTTGAGTCCATTGGATCCATTCCTCAAGTCCCAGTTGGGGATTGGGTGGAGAGTAACCAAGCATAACCACCCTTCATTTACTTCCTCACACAGGATATCAGGGTCCCACACCGGACTTGATCTGCCGCATCCAGCAAGGGGAGGTGGAGCTCTGGGTCTGTGATGATGAGAACCGTGGAGAAACTGCATGGTCTGAGGGCCTGTCTCCAGGTGAGTCATGGCAGTTCCCCCTATGCCCATTCCTCAGCACTGCTGAATACCAGAGAGAGGATAACTGGAAACTTGCAACCCTGCCCTGATCTGCTGTCCCAGGATACTGGCCTTAAATACTTAAACCGTGACCTGTGTTCTTCAGGCAAGCATGTTTTTCCATTCCCTGCAGGTGCATGTTGTCCAGGCAAGCGTGTGTTCTTGTGAGCACAGGAAATTGTTCCCTTCTTCTTCCCCTGTTAGGGCTTGTGGGACATGAAATCCAAATCCACCCCTTTAGTAATGTTTCTGTTGCTCGCCACCCAAGACGGAGCCCCAGTCCCTTTGTCAGGGAGCTCTGCCATGATTGTGGGAGCTTGCCCGTAAGAAAGCACTACAATAGTAAGGCCAAACTGTAGCCTGATGTTTCAGTATTGGGCACAGTGGGTTTCCCTGTGGTACCGCAGGCTGGAATTTGTCATCACTCAGCATTGGAAGAGTCGATACCACAGCCCAGGGTGGACATGCTTCTGTGAGGGTGTTTCAGAAAGTAATGGCAATTTTGGAATAAAACCTTTTTCCATGCAGTGATCATTTACTGTCTGACATTAGTTTTCTTAGGGTTGGCAAACTGGTCAATTGATTAGTCAAATATTGTCAGTTGCCTGCATGTTTTTTGTCTGGTCAAAGATTATAGCAATTTTATGTTGGGTGAATTTTTTTTTCAGTTTTCTTGACAGAAATATGATTTTTTTTCCTTGTTTTTGACACATTTCTTAATGGGAAATTTGGGCTTTTTCTATGTATTATTTGACTGTGTTGGCAATTTTTGACTGATATTTGACTGATCAATTGACCAAACTTTATATGACCAGTCAATACCTAACCCTAAGTTCTCTACATAGTTGTAAACGCTGGGCACATTCAGCAGTGTCATCAGTGTTCTCCGCTGCTGTGTAACTTCCCACTCATTGTACCCAAAATGGTTTTATTTTGAAATTGCTATTACTTTCTGAAACACCCTCATACATTCGCCCTGGAGGGCATGATGAGACCTGTATTTCCTCATGACAATTGTAATGCTGAGCAGAAGCTCTGGGAGCCGTTAGGGAGAGGGTGGGGCTCCTATCCACTGCTACTGGTTCCTCCTGCTTAGTGGAAACTGGAACTTCCCTCCATAGCAAACAAAAAATACAGGCAGTGTTTAATCAGCATCTCAGGCTGTGTTTCATAGCTCCTAGGTGTTAGTGGAATCCACAAACTCATGGTCTGGGGGAAATAAACTCCTCAGGGTTGGAGCAGATTCTTCCTCTTTCTGCTGCATCTTGGGGGCCCTGCAAACCACGGGTCCTGAGACTTAGTGGCCATGTGCAAGTTAACCCCAAGGCCTTTATCCCAGTGCAGATTCCTCTAACTTGGAGAACACCTGGGGCTCACTGGCAGAGGAAAGCTCCATGGCCTCATTCCCCAGAGAAGAGATTTCTCTGCAGGCAGCTAGGAAGCAGAGCTCTGCTTTTTCCAGAAAGGAGAGCTGGAGGGCTCATTTCAGGCCTGCCGCATGAGCTGCAAATCCTCTGCTTCAGGAATATTTCCTTGAGGGATGTGGGCTGGCATAGTTTGGCTTTTCTTTCTATTCCCAGCAGCCCTTGGAGTTTGCTTATACCGCAGCAGAGGTCTGTCCCGGAGAGGGCAGTGCTCAGCATGCCTCACACACCCATGCCTGTGGAGGCACTCCAGACCCAGCACTTTGCCAATGAAGCTGTTTCAGTTCTTGTCCTCATATGCTGTTCTTAGACCTGCTAGATACCAAGAGCCTGAGAAGAAGCCCTGGGGATGCACTCTAAACAGCTTCACTGGTGATGTTATGCGTCTCTAGCATGGCAGCAACCTTAGGTGGATGGGGAATGCTCAGCAGAATCTTCTCCAGGACCCACAACTGCTGTGGTGTAAATAAGCTCTTTGAGAGCCTTGTTCTTCCATTAGAGAGATGCTTCTTGTCTCCCTTCCAGCCACAGAGAGCAAGAGCCATTCAGATCTTGTGTCAGTGCATGTATTCCACATGTGTCTACCCCCAAAGGGTGTGAGGTGATATAGTTCTCCCCATAGCATAACAAGTGGTAGGTATGAACCCCAGGTGCTCAGTTGGGGCCTACCAAAATCATGATTTTGCCTTTTTCATGGAAAATGCAAAATTAGGCGTCTTCTGAAAAATGGTGGTCTCTGATTTTGGCAGGATCACCCGGAGGAAAAAAAAACAACTTGCCAAAGCAAAGAAATGAGTGGGAAGCCCTGCATCTTTGGAGCATGTGGGGTGAAAGGGAGCTAATTTGAGGCTGTCAGTACAGGTGCCAGTCTGGGGCTGGCTGGGGAAGTGAAAGGGTTGTAGCACCATAGTTGAGGTAGCCAGAGGCATACTGTTACAGCATGCTGCAGCCTGAGGAGGATAAATTGTGAGAAGAAATCCTCCAAGAAGGCAAAATACATTTCAGCTCTGGACCATGTAAGGCAGTATCCTACAGGGACCTTGCATGCAGATGGAGGCAAATTGCTCTGTACCTACTCCATGACTCTGGATATGTCAAGGAAAAACAGTGTAGATCAGTGCTTAAAGTGCAAGGCACATGTGAAGCAAAAGGTGGCTGCAGAGGCTGAAGGTCAGAGCAAGAAAGAAGCGACCATGTACTTGCTCTTTAAAAGGATCATGGAAAGCGGCTTGGCGAGGCAAATGGTGACATTGTTCCCTCGTGGAGGCTTTTGTGGCAGCAAAC